TCTATAAAATATAAATATTATCCACATTGTTAGTCTGAGTTGCATTTTGACGTGTCTATGTTTCATTGGTGTCATGAGTTGCAGTTTGTATGGCTAAATCAGATATCTAGGTTTAGTCCTAATTTATCTATATTTTTCCTCTCAATTAATAAGTTCTTATGATTCCCCCAAATAAGAGGAAAAAATAAAGAGAGGACAAGAACACCGCCATCATCAGGCAAAAAATATTTTCCCTTATGCTATTTTTTTTTTTGGGAGGGAGACTTGAACCCTTAACTTTAGGAAGACAAAACTTTCACAAAGTAAATAGTACTATTAGACCAAAGACCCATTAATAATGTATACTATTAGAGTTTGAGACACACAGCAATAACATTGTGACATTTCATCGATATTAGCAAAGATTGGAGCAATGTCCATGGAAAGAGTTAAGACTACTGAATCGAGTTTTACTCTGTGAATTGTATACTAGAACTTACCACTAACCTCTATTTACAATTTATTTAAAGTCAAGTTATGACTCAAAAATTTAATAAATTTACGATAAAATTTGAACAAAAGTTTGAATCATTCTTAAAATATTAGAATTAATAGTAATCAATCACATTTTATCATAGCCACACCAAATTGAATCATGATTTTATCCTCATTTTGTAGTAGTTTTCAATGCAACCCCAAAACTAACTATTATTGACATTAAATTCTATCTACTTTTGACTTGAAAGAACTCTCCCTCCATTTCTTTCTCCCCCTTTATATGGAGAAAATATTCAATGTAATGGTAATACCACATTATCACCGCCATATGGTGTCACAATTGAAGAATATAACAAATGAGAGCGGGTCTCACACAATTTACCAGAATCTATTACNTACCACATTATCACCGCCATATGGTGTCACAATTGAAGAATATAACAAATGAGAGCGGGTCTCACACAATTTACCAGAATCTATTACCAATCTACCTCATTTATCAAACTTATTTACCAATCTACTGTCGTTTTCAACTTATTTACCAAACTACCGATGTTTTAAAAGCGGATTTGAAAAATTCGACTTCATGGGAAAAGCGGATTTAACAAATCCGACTTTATAGGGAAAGTAAACATACCAAATCTGACTTCATTTAGCAAGCAGACATACCAAATCCGTTTTTTGTCTCAACTAGTAACTTTTAATATTTCATANCATACCAAATCCGTTTTTTGTCTCAACTAGTAACTTTTAATATTTCATATAATTTTCTTACTAGATACCACCCGAAATTCTTGACTTTATATATTTTCTCTCTAAAAAATAAATCACTCATTTTTATCATATATGTAATTATTTAATATTTGATTAATTTGTAATTAATATGTTTTGAAACAATTTAATATAATATGATTAATTTTTTAGATGATCGAATTTTATATTTTATCGTACATTCAAACACGAGTTATAACTAGATAGAATCTATTAGTGGATTTTTAACGACTAACAAATGTGAGTAATTTATTCACAAAGAATATAGAATCAGAGAGATCAAACATATTCAATAAATAGTCAAATATTCTTTTGACAATCAACACAATTATACATATAAAGGCTTGCACCTTGGTAAGTCTGCTTTCCATATAAAGGCGAATTTGGTATGTCCGCTTTCCATATAAAGGCAGATTTGGTATGTACGCTTTTCCTATGAAGTCGAATTTACCAAATTCACTTGTCAAATGAAGTCGAATTTGTCAAATCCGCTTACCAAATGAAGTCGAATTTGTCAAATCCACTTACCAAATAAAGTCGGATTTGCCAAATCCACTTTTAAAACAACGATAGTTTGGTAAATAAGTTAAAAATGACAGTAAATCGATAAATAAATTTGATAAATAAGATATATTGGTAATAGATTCCAATTTACCAACTACTCATGATTCAATAATTATCCCATGTAATGACTTTGGGTTATCTTTTTCATTTGAAATATCACTCACATCCCCTGAAATTTAGTTTTATTATATGGACACCCCCCCCATATTTTAAAAAAAACACTGAAACCTCAATAGGTGAACATCGTTAACAAAATTACTAAAGGATTATTTTACCCTTAAATATTGATCAAATCCAAACGCTTCGCCCCATGCCCAAGTCAACTACATGACCCATGACCCATGACCTAAAACCCTTTATGCCCGAAGCCTTTCCCTCTTTCCCTCTTCACCCACACCACCCCCAACCTCCACCGTTCAGAGTCACCACCATGTCTCTCTCTCTCTCTCTCTCTCTCTCTCTCAAACTTCCTCAATCTCTCTCTACCTTCCATAAAATCTCTTTAGGAGGTGTTGCAATGGTGGATGATTTTGAAACCCTAACATTTGTGATGTAATTAACTCTCATATCTTTGTTTTTCAGATCTGATGCGATGATGTGTGATTTTGAAACCCTAACTGCCCTCTCTTTGTCTTTCAAATTTGAGGCGTTCTGTGGTGGTGGTAGTGGGTCTTCCTGTTGTGGTGGTAGTGGTAATTGTTGGTGCGTGTTGCTGTGTGGGCGACAATGCAGTGGTGGTGATGTTGTAGATAAGAAGGATAATGTACACGGGTGGTTGATGATGGGTTTAGTCTAGTTGGTTTGGTGTTGGTTGATGATGGGTTTGGTCCAGGTGGTGGAGGTGGAGGAGAAGGCAGAGGTGGTTTCAATGGGTTGTGCTCTCTCTCTCTCTCTCTCTCTCTGTGTTCTGGTGGTGTTTGAAGGTGTTGGGCGAAAGATACACTATTGTGATTGTGATAAGGGTTCACAGCCGTGGTGTTCGTGGTGGGTCTATCTGAGTTTAGGCAATGATGTAGGTCATGGAACTGAGGGATGATGAGCAACAGCAATAAGAATTTAAGTAACTAAATAAATAATAAAAAAAATAAAATTAATATGAGATAATTGAATAGGTAATTATTAAGTTTTTAAAAAATTGATTAATTTTTTAAATTGTACTAATAATCCCAAATGTTATTTAATAAACCAAAAATTTTAATATTTAACTTGTTAATGTAATATATTAGANAGGGATGATGAGCAACAGCAATAAGAATTTAAGTAACTAAATAAATAATAAAAAAAAATAAAATTAATATGAGATAATTGAATAGGTAATTATTAAGTTTTTAAAAAATTAATTAATTTTTTAAATTGTACTAATAATCCCAAATATTATTTAATAAACCAAAAATTTTAATATTTAACTTGTTAATGTAATATATTAGAAAATTAAACAATTAAGTGTTAAATTTTAATCTATATATAAAATATATAGATTAAAAAAATAAATTAGAGGTTGGGTAAATTTATAAAATAAGAAAAATATATTTAAATTCTTAAACTTAATTTTGGAGGGTATTTTTGGTATTCTAAGAATTATTATTAAACATCTGTTAATTGGAGGGTAATGACTGTTACAAATTTTAAATGTCAAATGAGTTTGGTGTTATTTTTAAATATGAGAGGGTGTCGATGTAATAAAATCAAACGTTAGAGGGTGTGAATGATACTTACCCATTTTTTTTCTATTGGAGAGTGACACTGNGTTACAAATTTTAAATGTCAAATGAGTTTGGTGTTATTTTTAAATATGAGAGGGTGTAGATGTAATAAAATCAAACGTTAGAGGGTGTGAATGATACTTACCCATTTTTTTTCTACTGGAGAGTGACACTATGTATTATCACCATTACATTCAATATTTACTTGTCTATGTAGCCCTGATCGGACAGCTCTCCGTTCAACCGGTTCTTGCTAATTTGCCATGACCAGTATCAATAGGGGAAAAAACAGAAACTAGGATGGTAGATTTGAAAGAACAATTTAGTAACATACTATGATATATATATATATTCAATAGCAGATTTGAACCTAAAACTTGTACAATCCACTGGATCTCTAATCATCCAAGTCTATGATGATTTTATAATACTCGATCGAAAAATGAAAAAATTTGAAGTATTCATTGTCTAATACTAGTTCAACGGATTTGTCGTGTCAAAAATAGATTAGATTATTACTTCCGTCATTAACCCAACCTTTTTATTCGTATTGGGTTCAAGAAGTCAGGTCAAAATTATCTCCCCTAGTTCCATGTACCAGGAAAACATTCTGGCAAGCAACAGATGGACACATTTATATCATGGCCATAGTCTTCGGGTAAACTGGAAGACATTTTTAACACCCCCCCACCCAACACAAAAAAAAAAAACCATACAAACACCCCGGGGGTCTGGACAACCTGCATATGTAGCTAATTTTCTGAAAATCATAGGCGCCCAAGGTTGGCTAAGCATAGAAGACGATGCAATGCATTCTAAAAACCAACATTGAAAAAACTTCCGTGTCCATAAATTGCAGCAAGCACAAGTTTTTGGCTTAAAATGTTTCAAGAATATCTGAAAATCCCTTACAGAATGCAGACACTTAGTTTCATGTTAAGAGGTTTATGTAACTGACTAAGAAACCAGAGGTCTATGTAACCAGCTACAAAAGTAGAGACAGTTACAAACAATCAAATGTACTCCGTAATTTCAATGCATGGCTCTTTTTTCAAATAGGGATTATGAAAACAAAATAAATTGCTATGCAGACGTCATAAAGAGTCTCAGTTTATTAAACAGAACTCTCTCTACCTCTGTAGACAAAAATCCAAAAGAAGTTTTCTAACCAGGCACTTTATCAATGACTTGTTGAAGACTCTGCTGTTCCAGCTATATTTATTGTCCCACCACATCACCCACCTAAGAGAAAATGAATGGAATAATGTCCTTTTAGAAATCCAAAATAGAAGCTGAGGACCATAAAACTATAGTTATGGAAAATTTGTCATTTGACAAATAATATAAATGAATCATGCAGTGAGCAATGTTGCTTTCATTCTTCAGACATTTTGTTTGAGGAAATTAATAAACAAATAAATAACAACTCTGCTCTCAAAAGGAAGTGAAAGATAAGTAAACATTCCTCTCAGAAGGAAGTCGAAGATGACGGTAACCTTAAAAAAATTGAGAAAACTTCAGTTTACCTCCTAATGGTTTGCTCTTTTGCACATCAAGCCCCTCACGTTCAGAAATGTCAGCATAACCCTCATGTGGTTATTGGACAAAAGTGTACCATTAATACCGTTAACTACAGAGATAAAATGACCATAATACCAACTCTTACTACCACTTCTCCCCCTCCGGAAAATTCCCAATCACCACTATCTGCAAAATCCAACATCTGCATATGGCCCACAGCTGCACATTCACCAACTGAATTGATCTTCCTCATAAACTCATTCTTCAACCTCCCTTCTTTACCAAACACCCACCACCATGTTAAACAACCACCAGCACGACCAATGTATAGCTCCCTTCTGCCCCCAACCACATCATCACAGGCACCCATGCAAAGCGCTGCACAGTTTCACTGTCATCCCCACCAGAGCTCCAACAATACCCACACAAGGCACACAACCACCCATGTCGCCACTGCACGGCTCCATTATGAGCTGAATTACTCTCAGGCCCTCCAAACAAAACCAAACCTCCATGACATGACAATACCTAATGCACACTCAATCTCCCATTGAATTTTAGCAACTGATGGGTTTCAATTGAAGCCTATCAGCTTTCAATAATCGACAGTGATTTCGGCGTCTTCAAACTCTCCCTTCATGGAGATGATGAATTTTGTTCAATCTCAGTACACAAACTCTGGAAACTGTGTAAGCAAAAATCCACAGCTGAAGCCTAGGGCGAACAGTTGCAGGGTTGGGGGAGGGATTGTATTGGGGTTCCTTTTGTGACTGCGAATCTGTGTGTCAGTGTGAAGAGAGGCTTGCATTACAGATTATGTGTGTCATCTGTGAAGGGTGAGGGATAGAGAGATGAAGCTGATAATGAAAATTTAAAATTTCAAAAAGTTGCAAGGGGTATTTTTGTCTCAAGATACGGATTTGCACAATCCAATTTGCAAATTAGTAGTGTGAGGCACAACTACAGTTAAATAAGAAGGAATTTTTGACAGGGCACTTTAGTCCAATAACCAAATGAGGGTTATGGGGCCATTTTTGAATGATAGGGAGTTGATGTGCGAAAGGAAATACCATTGGGAGGTAAAATGACATTTGCCGAAAAAAAATTAAACATTAGGAGGACCATATGGCATCGAAGACAATGACACTGGAGAACAACAATGCATAACAAACAAAAAAAGGGAATACAAAAAATCAAGGCAAATGCAAAACTAATACAAATTTTAGAGCATACGAAAAAATATCATGTCTTGGTAAACAATACTGAACTTCAATGTAACAATCACATTGGTCACAGCCAGAGAACCAACAGAACCTGCGATTAAGCACAGCGAAAATGCACATAGCGGCATTGCCAGAAAAAGTAAAAACACATAGGGTAATTCAAGTATTATCAGCAGTGTGTGAAAAACTTGAGAACAAGGGATAAAGTTGGGGTTCTACTATATATATTGGGAAGATCTTTCTTAGTTCACCATACATATTTTTTGAGTACCATTGATCTGAAACGCATATCAGTTAGGGAGATTAGTTATAACAGTAAGTTAGCTCCTCTTTAAGAGTACAAAAGTAAATTTCTTTTGAATAGACCACCTTAATTTTTGCCCCAAGAAAGAACACTTTCATTTCATAGAAAGTAGGAAAAGAGGCCACTTGAATAACATATAAAATATAAAATTACATTGCATGACCTAAAATCCTAGACATTGATGACTACACAGACAAGATCCAATTCATGAATAACGTATGACAGGAATTCTTTATGTTTGTGAATATTAAGCAAGCCAGTGTTTTTAGTGCATGGTTTTTATTGGTATCATCACCCCTGTTACTGAATAATTAACAAGAAATGCAACTTGTGCCTTACAAATTACAATGGCATCAAATTCATTTAACACCAACTAAGACGACAAGAAGAAGAGAAAATATGACGACAACAACAGTAATTACAAATTCTGTAAGTAAGTGCATGTAGATTTTTGTATTTCCAACAAGATAATCATGACGTCCATTCTCTAACCACATAGAGTTGAAGATTCCAACTACGTAAATTCTAGTATATACTTGTTCTTCCAATTTAATTTGAAAGTAATCAGGTACTCTATATGATTCAAGAACCTGAATTCAATTAACCTCAGTAAAAATTGACTAGTTCTCCTTCCAGCGTTCTACTTATATTTTTATAGTGCATTTAAATAGAACATAAAGTGTATGCAATTCTTGAAAGCAATATAGATAATTATTGGATNCCAATTTAATTTGAAAGTAATCAGGTACTCTATATGATTCAAGAACCTGAATTCAATCAACCTCAGTAAAAATTGACTAGTTCTCCTTCCAGCGTTCGACTTATATTTTTATAGTGCATTTAAATAGAACATAAAGTGTATGCAATTCTTGAAAGCAATATAGATAATTATTGGATTTCTAGTATTCACGTTTCACATTACTAATTACCATGTTAGAAGTTTTAATTTTTGTTTCATTCAGAGAATTCCACTTGGTTACTTTGGGAATTTTCAAACATTTAATTAATCCGCATTCAGCATCTGTCTCTTATTTAGCATCTAAGCATTATGAGCCTTATGCCAGAAAGACCTACCACCAAAATTCAAATAAAGAATGAGCAGCAAAGTTATGCAAATTTGAAGTGCTTTGATCTCAATCAAAACAAACAAAGAAAATGGTTTTATTTACAATGAATAATCACACTGCCAAATTGCTCAAAAGTGTTCTTTTGATCTCATAGCACCAATACACTATCGATTGAGTGAGACAATGCATTATCTTATTTCTCCCCAAGTCCCCTTTGACTCACATCTTAATNAAGAAAATGGTTTTATTTACAATGAATAATCACACTGCCAAATTGCTCAAAAGTGTTCTTTTGATCTCAGAGCACCAATACACTATCGATTGAGTGAGACAATGCATTATCTTATTTCTCCCCAAGTCCCCCTTTGACTCACATCTTAACCTACACAATTCAGGTTTTGAACCATATTTGCCTAGTGAAAACTGCCCATCATTTATTTACACTTCAAGAACTTCATGTCATGCAGCCATGCCACTCTCAAGAAAGAGTGTTTCTTGATGGGGATGTCAGTATTCCAACAGAAACATTTCTCTTTAACTCTAAAATAGAACCCTTTCTTTCATTCATTAAGTTCATTCCATTAAAGACAAACTTGCACAGTAATCTTGAGGTGTTGGATAGCAATTCTCTACATTCCAACAAAATTTTGAAGATCAAGTTGAGTCCAACGGCAAAGGATCTCACCTGTTGGAAATAATTCAAAAACTAAACTTTCCTAGTGGCTAGCGTTTAGCATGTTATTTTAAAATTTAAAACAATGTATTCTGATTCTAGTTGTTAGGATTTAGATGAGGCAATTAGTATAAATTTGGGTCGGTGGTAGTTTATCTCATGTATGCCTCATGTTGGGATGTCTATATAAGAGCTTAATGTGTAGCTTAAAGTTCAGGTGCAAAACAAATAGGCATCCCTTCTTCCTACAGTTTTTTTTGGTTCCTGTTTGCTCACCTTTTCCGGTTACTATTCAAGAGAATCATCCTCCAAGCCCATCCCGAATTCCAACATTTAGTGTCGGAGAAAGTTCTGATCAACTGGAATTGAAGCAGTTTTTATCACAAAGGTTAACTGAGAAAATGGAAACTTCAGATAACTCCTCTCAACCAAGTGTTCCCATTTTCAAAAGAGAAAATTACAAGTTTTAAATTATCAAAATGAAAGATTTGTCTGTCTCAGTTGATTTATGTGAACTAGTTGAAAATGGTTGCATAGAATATGACAATTAAGAAGGACCCTATCTTATCCAAACGGGACTTAAATTGCTGGACCCTATCTTATCCAAACAGGACTTAAATTGCTGGACCCTATCTTACCCAAACCACGTTTGTCATGGCACCAAAACAAGCTCAAGCAAAGGCCTTCTACTCTCCAGGCAGCCAGGTGTTGCCCAGTGTGCATGCAAAAACGTCAGGTACGCAATGGCCTTCCAGTACCTTGCCTACTATGGATGTCAAATGTCACATATTACAGAGATTCTCAGTCAGAAGATTAGAACTGTGCAAATCGAATTGTCATGCATACATTCGTAGCAACCTGGTGAGGTACAGAGAAATTTCTGAATAGGAAAACAAACAAGCAACTAATGAAGGGGTAAAAAGAATTAAAAAAAGTTAAAAAACAATGAGTTTGAATTGTTTTGTGAAATTTGGGAAGGATATGGAGCCATTGGTGCTCTTCCACTTTCAGCCATAATGTATATATAGCTTCAACATGATACAGTTGCCTAAGAATGCCAGTAAACTGTAATGGCCAATAAGGCTAGTTCCTTTAAAATATCCAGTTCTGGTCTGTTTACTGATTCCATAGTTTTGGGAAGTGAATACAGACGACCACAATAAATGAACATCAATAGGCAACTTACCATGACAGACAGGTAAATCCCTAAAATATCCATGCCTATGTGCTAAGGTACCAAGCCTTCTTTCATGTTCTTTACCATTTCTGTTTAATAAGCTACATGTATGGGTTTAGTACCTCATAATTCTCTTATTATCCCAACACTGACCCTAACTTCCTTTGTTTGACCTTATCTATTTTAGCGGCCTGTAGCTTCTCTTTTTACATTCCAACAAAGCCAAGCCCGCATAGATGAGGAGTAACTTGTACTCGCATAAACAAACTTCTAACACAATATCAGGAAGATTGTTAGCCATCCTCATAGCAAATGGACACATACAAGAAGGAAACTTAAGAAAAGAGTCAGTAGCAAACACGGGCTTTACTTCTTACAACAAAAAGAACAAACTTAACACAAAAATATAATCAAAGCAGAAAATCAAGAGACTCTTTTTGATACCTTAAGTTAGCCCAAATTATATTTCGACTATATTAGTCCCCTCTTCCACTCAGTTTCACCTTCACATTGATCAGGAATATTCCTAACTGTTGGTTATTCCATTCTCATATTTACCAGATCAGTCTCCAATTAGGCGACGGCTCTCAGCTGCCACGTGCATGCTTAGCCACAATCTTGTTCCTGTGTGCCGTCAATTCAGCTCTTCTTTTTCCTTGAATTTCACGCACATATTCTGCCACTATGGCATGGAATTTAGGAGCAAGCTTATTTGATGAGACATTAAGACCTGCCTTCTTCAAGGCCCGTGTGACATGTTTCTGAGCCTTTTGAAAATGAATATTACAGAGAGAAGGAACAGTGGATTGCATTATAGGCTTCCCACAGGTAATAGGCCCTGCCTGCGCACTAGATATAAATAACCATTGGATCAGTATAAATCACATTGAAATATAATAGGAAAAACTAATCAACATGCCATTCTCAAGGAAACTACCAGAAAGTATACATTCAGCCACTGGCATTCTCAACTTTAAGTTGAATTTACCTTCTAGAATATATATTCGCATACGTACACATGTATATGTTATTTGAATATTCGTGATGGGTGTGTGCTAGCTGAAGCCTGAAACTATGAGACAACTTAAGAAGTTCACCCGTCTGTCTGCATTACCCAAATTCAGAACGACCCAGTTGTACTATTATAGCACAATAAAACAATTCAAATCAACTTAACAAAGCCTTGCCCAACTACTTGGAGTAACCACATGAATAATGTTCCTCCCTTATATCTCAATCAATGGGTATGTTCTTCCATGAAACTGCAAACTGTTATTTGTTATTATCTCATTCAAAATTAAATCGGTCTAACTCTTCCCCTCGAATTGCTATTTACAGATACAGTCTTATCGCTGGTGCAGTAATATGTTTTCTTCGAACATGTCCAAAAAATTTGGGTCCATTCTCTTTTAATTTATCTTCTACTTATGCTGTTGTAAGATCCAAAAACTTCAAATCAAGTTCTATAAATATAATAGTAAATTTGGGATGAATTCCAAATGTGTGTAATAAAACTTCGGCACCTTGTTCTTTGTAGAATGTAGCTATGAATTAGAATTATGATGGAATCAGGAGGTCGATAAGTTTAATATTTTCTTAAGTTTCGATGTTAGTTGGAAAGATTTAAAGGTCAGTGGAGGTGTTTGGGAAATAGTTGAGTCTTTTGACACAGTGGAATTAATGGGGTAAGAGAGTGCTTGAGCGGGTGGAGTGGCGGTCGAGAGCCCGGCCCTTATAAGGGCCTAAAGATGAAAATTTCCAAAAAAAAATGGTGCTAGCTTGGCACTTGAGCGCCATCAAGAAGTACGCTCAAGCAGCAAGGAGGAACGAGCTGCTCCCACAATCCAAAGTGAACACATAGTTTTAAGACGGTTTTGACCCTATAAAAACCCTCAAATCCCCATTTTTGACCCTAAGATGAACAGGTTAGTGGTTGTGGATGATTATGGTGGCCTTAGTGGCACCATAGGTTCTCACTATCAGTTCAGCAAAAGACCGATAGTCAATAGCTTCTAGTGAGGTTCCAAGAGTTCCCAATACTCCTTGGGTAGACCGGTTAGAGATTTCAGAAAATTGTAGTGGCCTAAGTGGTGCTACGGGTTCCCATTACCAATGCTTGGTGAAAGCAAGAAGGTGTGAAAGGCTCTAAAGCTCCCCTGGGATTATTATTGATTGACTAGTNATTTCAGAAAATTGTAGTGGCCTAAGTGGTGCTACGGGTTCCCATTACCAATGCTTGCTGAAAGCAAGAAAGTGTGAAAGGCTCTAAAGCTCCGCTGGGATTATTATTGATTGACTAGATATGATACGATACTTGGTGTATGGCATTCTTGATGAAAGCTTAGATCAAACTTGCACAGATGAAAAGACAAACATATATAAGAAGAGAAAGCGAAAAGAAGTTTTCTATTATTCCAATCATTAAAAAACTAGGTGCAAGAGACACTATATAGAACCCTGCTATAAGAAATAGACTAGAATATCCCTAATGATAAATAAATGAAAATATAAGTACAATCTTAACACTCTCCTCAAACTTCTAATGTGAAAATTGGAAGCATCAAAGGTTTGTGAAGAAAAAAAAATGAAAGCACAACGTCATGGTTACCAGTATAGTAAGATATGCGACAAATATCATAAGATACATTATGGTATACATGGAAAACGATTTAACTTTTGTACTATATTGCACAATAATGTATCTAGTTTGGGCGATATGTTTCATATTACATGAGATGTCCGATACGTGAAAATGCCTTCTATTTTTTTTGGTTTTTTGATTGTGAAGTGAAACGACGTCATTGCACTTGGGAATTATTTTGTTAAGCTTTAGACAATGAAACAAAAGTGGACAATACATTTCATATCTCACGAGACTCGCAAATTCCTTTTTGTTTTATTGTGAACGATGTCACTTCATTTGGGGATTTAACTTTTTGAAGCACACCCTCTAAGACTTAAAAAGAAACTTTCACTTCAATGATGTCTTCTCTAAACACCCCTAATCATAAGACCATCTCCATCAGACCGACCCTTCCTCCTCATCGCACTGACCCATTCTAAGTTGCGATCTTTGGCAAGCGTTCTCACATGCAATCTTCTTCTTCATCTACTAGTTCAGTGAACTCTTCAGATTGTGCAAATGGAAACCAGAAGCTCCAAGTTAAGGTGTGCACTACAATGGTCCTCTTGTTCAGCGAATTACAACTACCCCTTCCTCTGTGATTGGGGAATTCGCCTACAACTTACATGAGAAGTTATGCAAAATCTCTCCTCTCATTGCTCTAGCTCCTCTACCTATAACAGACAAAAAAATCCAAATTTAAGTGGTAATTGAATAAATTCGTGTTGTCCTATTGTTAAAATGTTTATGATCCTCAACCAAATTCCTAATTAATATTGATGTTATTCAAACAAAAACCCCACATAAAATTTTGTAACTGATTGAGAAGAACAAGGGTTGTATATTTCGATATCAATTACAGTTAAGCATCACCGAGAACCTAGAGGTTGTTCTTTAAACCTCAAAAGTCAGTTGTGCAATGAACTGCTTAAAAAACCTTCAAATAATCTCATATGAAACATTTTGAAAAATAGAGAACGATCAATATCAAAGTTGAAATAGAAAAAAGCATTCATTGTGGAAATGCCTAATGGGGAGGCATTTCAGGATTAAGAAATCATTTAGTAGGTAGTCATAAAGATGTAGCAACATATACAAAATGTCCAGAGGAAGTGACTAAAGTTTTTAAGCAAAAGCTAGATGAAAAGAACAATGATGATGATTTTGTCGATGAGGCAAAATCTATCAAAGTAGTATTTAGAGATAGTAAGAAAAATACAATTTGCCAACATCACTTTGAATACCACGTCGAAGAAAAAGGGTGGGGCAGAAGTATGCTTAAATTTTTTTATGCAAATACAGCTCCTTTTAATTTGGTGAAGGATCAATATTTTAAAAAAACGTTAAAATCCATTACTTATTTGCCAAGGGATAAAAACCTTCATATCATGAGGTGAGACGCTCTTTTTTGAAAAAAAAAAACAGATTTAATTAATGGTGGATTGATGAAAAAATATAAGGCAAAGTGGAGAAACATNTTTTATGCAAATACAGCTCCTTTTAATTTGGTGAAGGATCAATATTTTAAAAAAACGCTAAAATCCATTGCTTATTTGCCAAGAGATAAAAAACTTCATATCATGAGGTGAGACGCTCTTTTTTGAAAAAAAGAAACAAATTTAATTAATGGTGGATTGATGAAAAAATATAAGGCAAAGTGGAGAAACACGGAATTGAACTCATATCCCTAATGGATGAATTGATGTGAAACATCACTCTATCAATAATTTTTTAGTGAATAGTCATAGAGTAAGTGCATTTCTTAAAAGTATTGACATTGCAGACATTTGCAAGAATGCACATAATCTATTTAAGCTTTTAGACTAAGTTGTGGAGGAGATTGGTGAAAACAATGTCGTCCAAGTTATGAATAATAGTGCATTAGCTTATGTAAAAGCTGNTGCAGACATTTGCAAGAATGCACATAATCTATTTAAGCTTTTAGACTAAGTTGTGGACGAGATTGGTGAAAACAATGTCGTCCAAGTTATGAATAATAGTGCATTAGCTTATGTAAAAGCTAGGGAGATGTTAATAGCACAAAGGCAAGAATTGTTTTGTTCTCCTTGTGCTGCACATTGCCTAGAACTTATTTTGATGGAAGTTAGGAACCTTCCTATACATAGATATAATGGCAAAGGCGGAAAGGCAAGGTAAATCACTACATTTCTACGCATTCTTGGGTTAAATCTTATGAGAAAGCACACAAAGAAAAGGTAATTGGAGAGAGCTGGTGTAGCAAGATTTGCCACCACATATTTAACTTTAAATAGTCCATTTGAGAATAAAATTGAGCTTAAAAAGAATGTTTGCTAATGAAGAATGGCAAAGAAGTCAATACTCCAAGAAGGGAGATGGTGTAGAAGTGATGGATATCGTCCCGACTAACCTAAATTTTTTGGAATCGATCAAGTATTGTTTTAAGTGTATTGCTATTGGTAAAGGTGTTGTGACTTGTGGATGAGAATGTAAAGCCTAACATGGAAACATTTATAAAGCACTTGACAAGGCAAAGGAACAAATCCAAATAAATTTTCGTAATGTGAAAAANATGAGAATGTAAAGCCTAACATGGAAACATTTATAAAGCACTTGACAAGGCAAAGGAACAAATCCAAATAAATTTTCGTAATGTGAAAAAACACTATAGGCCTGTATGGAACATTGTTGCCACTAGATGGAATATGCAATTACATAGACCTCTTCATGCAGTTGCCTACTTTCTCAATCAGGCTTAANGAACAAATCCAAATAAATTTTCGTAATGTGAAAAAGCACTATAGGCCTGTATGGAACATTGTTGCCACTAGATGGAATATGCAATTACATAGACCTCTTCATGCAGTTGCCTACGATTGAAGTTTCTCAATTTTTATATCATTTTATATCTACCAATTGTTCGCTATTGATTAAATTCATGTTATAGTTTCACTATTCTACCTACTATGTCCATTCCAAACATCTTCTCATCATTGTGAAAGGTATCCAACTGTTTATCAATGTTTTTCCTCGAAAGCATGACTGTCCTCTGAATAGTCTCATAAAGTTCTATCTTTATCTCATAGTCTGCAAAATTTGTTTGGATTTGTTTCTACGCCTTGTTCATTGCTTCATAAATGTACACATGGCAAGTTTTAAATCCTAATCTGCAAGCCTAACACCCAAGGATCAAAATTTTATTTTGAAACGTCCGAAACATTTCCGTTTCTAAGGAGAGTGAAATAAAACAGTGATGGAATCGAAATTTTAATACTTTGAGGTGTTTCAAAATGTTTCGAAACGTTTTAGTGTTTAGTAATATTTCAATGCATTTGTATAATTATTTTGAAATGTTTTAAGGTATTTCAAGATAATTTGATATATTTCGACCAATATTTTTAAAAAATAATTCTTTAAATTTTTTATTTTTTTCATTATGTTTCCGAATGAATTGAAACATTTCTGAAACGTTTCGTAAATGTTTCTATTTTTNTTAAATTTTTTATTTTTTTCATTATGTTTCCGAATGAATTGAAACATTTCTGAAACGGGTCGAAACGTTTCCAACACACGTCTAAATGTTTCTATTTTCTAGGTGACCGAATCAATACACCAAAACGAAATTTTGATCCTTGCTAACACCTTATCAATGGGAACACACACTTCATGCAATACATGATTGATCCTCAAAAATTTATATTAGCTTTGGATGATATCCATCACTTTTACACTCTCACTTCTTGGAGTATTGACTTCCTAGCCTTTGCCATTATATTCTTGTGGTAGGAAGGTTCCCAGGCTCCATCAAAACATGGTCTAAGCAATGTGCAACATAAAGAGACCAAATTTTTATTTGCCTCTTTGTAAATTAGTCACAACTTGAAAAACATTGTCCTCACTAATTTCCTCCACAACCGAATCTAAAAGTTCAAATAAATTCTCTTCATCTTACAAAATGTTTGAAGTGTCGATACTTTTTAAGAATACACTTCTTATAGGACAATTCACCAATAGAGTGATTTGTCCCATCAACCCATCCATTCGACATAAGAGTGCAACTTGTCTTACTTTACTTCGTCTTATATTTTTCATCAATCCACTATTAATGAAATCTACATCTTTAGAGAGCATTTTTTGTTCAGAATTCCTTGTTCTCTTTCATTTGAATTCCCCAATTCCAAAAAGACCATTTCACATCATGATATAAAGGAGGTTTTAATTTCTTGCCAAATAAAGCAAACGGATTCTAGCATTCTTTTGAAATATGGATCCTTCACTGAATAAAAGAAATAGCTTTTGCATAAAATCATCCACCAATATCTAATCATACTTCTTCCCTAGACTTTTTCTTCCACATAGTATTCAAAAAGATTGTGGTTGGCTATATTTTATCCCAACCTCCAATACTACTTTTGATGGCTTTTGCACTATCAACAATATCAACATCTTTCTTCTTATCATCAAGCAATTGGTTAAAAAAAATTCATTTAACTTCGCCTAGACATTTTGTAAAAGCCACTACATCGTAAAGAACTGCCGGTTAAATGATTTCATTGTTGAAATGCCTCCCCAATAGGCATTTCCATAATAAATGCATTTCAATTTCAACCTTGACGTTCATCTTTCTTCTATTTTTTCACAATATCATGGGAATCATTAGCACGTTTTTTAGACATTTTCATTACACAACAAACTTTTGAGGTTTAAAGAACAAAGCGTAGACCTCCGACAATACTTGTGCAATTGATATCGGAATACACAACACTTATTCTTCTCAACCAGTGACAGAATTTTAGATAGGGTTTCCATTTGAACAACATTAATACTAATTAGACAATCNCACTTATTCTTCTCAACCAGTGACAGAATTTTAGATAGGGTTTCCATTTGAACAACATTAATACTAATTAGACAATCCGGAACATATTACCAATAGGACAAGATAAATTTGTTCAATGGGCATCTATATTTGGATTTTTTGGTCCGTGTTGCTGGCAGAAGAGACAAGACAACGAGAGGAAGAAATTTCTCAACCTTCATTGTTGAGTAGTAGGAAAATTTCACAATTGCGGAGCAAAAGGAAGCTGAAATCTAAACAAAAGGACCATTGCAATGCACAACTCGCAACTTAGGGNCAGGAACATATTACCAATAGGACAAGATAAATTTGTTCAATGGGCATCTATACTTGGATTTTTTGGTCCGTGTTGCTGGCAGAAGAGACAAGACAACGAGAGGAAGAAATTTCTCAACCTTCATTGTTGAGTAGTAGGAAAATTTCACAATTGCGGAGCAAAAGGAAGCTGAAATCTAAACAAAAGGACCATTGCAATGCACAACTCGCAACTTAGGGCTTTTGGTATCTATTTGCAGAATCAGAAGACTTCATAGAACCAGTAGATGAAGAAGATTACAGTTGGGAATGATTGCAAGAGATTGCAGCTGAAAAATGGGTCTTTGAAATGAAGAGGAAGGGTCGGTGCAGTGGAGAAGGACTGTGATTCCGG